GAATCATGTCATCTGCAGTGGTGACAGTTTTACTTCTTTTCCAACACGGATTCCTTTTATTTCTTTTTCTTCTCTGATTGCTGTATCTAAGACTTGCAAAACTATGTTGAATAAAAGTGGCAAGGATGGACATCTTGTCTTGTTCCTGATTTTGGAGGAAATTCTTTTAGTTTTTCACTGTTGAGAATGATGTTAGCTGTGGGTTTGTCATACATGGCCTTTGATTATGTTGAGGTAGGGTCCTTCTGTGCCCACTTTTTGGAGAGTTTTTATCATTTATGGGTGTTGAATTTTGTCAGAAACTTTCTGCATCTATTGAGATGATCATACGGTTTTTATCTTTCAGTTTGTTAATATGGTTTATCACACTGATTGATTTGTGTGTGTTGAAGAATCCTTATATCCCCAGGATAAATCCCTCTTGATCATGGTATATTATTCTTTTAATGTATTGTTGGATTTGATTTGCTAGTGTATTGTTGAAAATTTTTGTGTCTGTGCTCATCAGTGATATTGGAGCCTGCAATTTCCTTTTTTTGTGTGTGTGGCGTCTTTGTCTGGTTTAGGTGTCAGGACGATAGTGGCTTCATAGAATGAGTTTGGGAGTGTTCCTTCCTCTGCAATTTTTGGAAAGTTTCAGAGGTGTTAACTCTTCTCTAAATGTTTGATAGAATTTGCCTGTGAAGCCTTCTGGTCCTGGACTTTTGTTTGTTGGGAGTTTTAAAATCAGTTTTAATTTTCAGTTCAGTCGCTCAGTCATGTTGACTGTTTGCGACCTCATGGACTGCAACACGCCAGGCTTCCCTGTCCCTCGCCAGCTCCCGAAGTTTGCTCAAACTCATGTCCATCGAGTCAGTGATGCCCTCCAACCTTCTCATCCTCTGTTATCCCCTTCTTCTCCTGCCTTCAGTCTTTTCCAGCATCAAGGTCTTTTCCAATGAGTCAGTTCTTCCCATCAGGTGGCCAAAGTATTAGAGTTTCAGCTTCAGCATCAGTCCTTCCAATGAATATTCACGACTAATTTCCTTTAGGATTGACTGGTTTGATCTTCTTGCAGTCCAAGGAACTCTCAAGAGTCTTCTCCAACACCACAGTACAAAGGCATCAGTTCTTGGGTGCTCAGCTTTCTTTATAGTCCAATTCTCACATCTATAAATGACTACTGGAAAAACCATAGCTCTGACTAGAAGGACCTTTGTTGGCAAAGCAGTGTCTCTGCTTTTGGTTGTCTAGGTTGGTCATAGCATTTCTTCCAAGGAGCAAGCGTCTTTTAATTCCATGGCTGCAATCACCATCTGCAGTGATTTTGGAGCCCAGGAAAATAAAGTCTGTCACTGTTTCCATTGTTTCCCCATCTGTTTGCCATGAAGTGATGGGACCGGATGCCATGATCTTAGTTTTTTGAATGTTGAGTTTTAAGCCAGGTTTTTCACTCTCCTCTTTGACTTTCATCAAGAGGTTCTTTAGTTCCTCTTTACTTTCTGCTGTAAGGGTGGTGTCATTTGCCTATCTGAGGTTATTGATATTTCTCCTGGCAATCTTGATCTTAGCTTGTGCTTCATCCAGCCTGGCATTTCACATGATGTACTCTGCATAGAAGTTAAATAAGCAGGGTGACAATATACAGCCTTGATGTACTCCTTTCCAAATTTGGAACCAGTTTGTTGTTCCAGGTCTGGTTCTAACTGTTGCTTCTTGACCTGCATGGAGATTTCTCAGGAGGCAGGTCAGGTGGTCTGGTATTCCCATCTCTTGAAGAATTTTCCACAGTTTGTTGTGATCCACACAATCAAAGGCTTTGGTGTAATCAATAAAACAGAAGTAGATGTTTTTCTATAACTCCCTTACTTTTCCTATGATCCAACAGATGTTGGCAATTTAATCTCTGGTTCCTCTGCCTTTTCTAAATCCAGTTTGAACATCTGGAAGTTCCTGGTTTACGTACTGTTGGAGCCTGACTTGGAGAATTTTGAGCAGGGAAATTGAGCATTTTAAGAATCAGTGAACATTTCAGGAATGTTTTGGGTTTTAGTTCTAGAAGGTCTTATAGGTCTTCATAGAACCGTTCAACTTCAGCTTCTTTAGCATTACTGGAGGCAGTGATCAAGACCATGCCTGTTGTACTTTATAATTGGTCTGTTTGTATTTTCTATTTCTTCTTGGTTCAGTCTTGGAAGGTTGTATATTTCTAAGAATTTGTCCATTTCTTCTAGGCTGTCCATTTCATTGACATATAGTTGCTTGTAGTAGTCTCTTATGATCCTTTGTATTTCTGCAGTGTCCGTTGTAACTTCCTTTTCATTTTTAATTTTATTGATGTGAACCACCTTTTTCCTTAATGAGTCTGGCTGAAGATTTGTCAGTTTTGTTTATTTTTCAGAGAAGCAACTTTTGGTTTGATTGTTCTTTTCTGTTTTCTTTGTCTCTATTTCATTTATTTCTGCTTCTCTGATTGTTTGATTTCTTTCCTTCTACTAATTTTGGGTTTTGTTTGTTCTTCTAGTTACTTAATATATTTTTAAAATTAGTAATGATCATGTATTTAATCCATTCGTAGAAATTGCATTCATTTTATTTATGTATTTTTTTGGCTGTGCTAGGTCTTCGTTGCTTTGCATAGGCTTTCTCTAGTTGTGGCTAGCAGGGGCTACTTTTTGTTGTGGTGTGTGAGCCTCTTACTATTACAGTGACTTCCCTTGTTGCAGAGCACAGGCTCCAGGCACACGGACGTCATTCGTTGTGGCCCAGAGGCTCAGTAGTTGGAACCGTGGCCCCTAGTGTGCGCAGACTTGCAGAGTTGTGCCATACAGCCTCAGCAGTTGTGGTTTGCGGGCTCTAGAGTGTTGACTCAGAGGCACACAGGCTTCGTTGCTCCACAGCCTGTGGAATCTCCCCAGACCAGGGATCCAGCCTGTGTCCCCTGTGGTGGCAGGCAGATTCCTATCCACTGCACCACTAGGGCAGTCCTGCATTAAGTAGGTGTTAATTTTGAGTTAAAAAATTTTTTTTTGGTCATTACATACTGGTAAAAATACATGGGCTGTGGAGCCAACTGGAGTGTGTCCAGATTTTGTTTAAAATTACATAGACCAAGTAATTCAACCTCTCTAAGCCTTTGTTTCCTCAGCTAAATTGTGGGGATATAAATATTGCCTAGCTCTTAGGAATGGGGTGAAAAATAGGAATGCATATAAAGTATATGACATAGCACACAGCAGATGGTCAGTAAATGAGAGCTGTTGTGTCTTTTCTAAAATGCAGTATATAAGTTCATGGTGGTTTTAGCTCCTTTTAATGTAGTAAGTTACATTCTTAATGAAAGAGTTTGAAATACTTAGGGAGTTAGAGAAAAATCTACTTTCTTAGCCTTTCTCGTTCCTGCTGGCACTTCCGGGCTGTGTCTGCTGTCCTGTCTCCTGAGGAAGTCTCACCCAATGCCACGGCCTCAGCTGGCAAGTGAGTCTCACCATCTGCCTGCTTGCTGGGCACGTCCATGTGAGTGTATCACAGACTTAAAGCTCAGTACCTCCACACTCGTTGCATGATGTTCCCTTTCAAACTGTCATTTCTTCCAGTGGTGTTCACCATCTCAGTACACAGCTAGTGTTACATTCCCTCGGTCAAGCCAGGAATTTGAAAGTCACCCTCAATTCTTCCTTTGCCCTGGTCTGCTTTTGACTAGTTCTTTCCCAGGCCTCTTGATTCTAACTGTGAAATACTGTGAAATACTTTCCATCTTTCTCATCCCCTTCTATTGTCAGCACCATCTCTTACCTGGTTAACCGTGTCAGCCCTCTTGCTGGTTTCTTCACTTCTTCCGTTGCTTTTTTCCAGTTCTTTGTATACAGTATAGCCAGTGACTGTGATGACACTCTTCTTCACTTTGTTTTTAAGATAAGCTCTAGAACCTTAACATGTTCTTCATCACCCTGTATAATTAAGCCCCTCAGTTTCTTTAGCTCTTACATCTACTGTCCTTTTCCATCTCTGTCTTTTTCTGGTCTCCTTGCGTTTTTGTGGAATCTCCCTTCTCTTTTTTGCCTTTTGCTGTCCATCTGTTTTTAACTCAAGCTCATATATTATATGGACTCTTCTGGAAAGCCTTCTTTGATCTCTTCCCCTTTCCTTCTGCCTTAGTTTTCTTGCCTAGATTATGTTCCTGACTCTCATGTAGAACTCTGTGTTTCTCATTCCCAACGCTCATCTTGCTTATAATTATTTGGGTAATATGTCCTCTCCAAGATGACACATACCATGACATTAAAGATTGTGTTTGTCATTGTGTCCCTGAGGCATAGCACCATGCCAGGCTTAGGTGTATAGTATTTGTTAAATGAATTAATTTGGATATTTAGAAAATTTAAGTTGTGTCTGTAATTACTTGTAATATACTGTCACTTCTTTTTGTTAATTCCCCCATTCCTTATAGCTGTTACTTAAAACTTTTATTTTGAAATAACATACTTATTTTAGGATGAGGCTATTTGCTCGGTGTCATGTTGGTTGCTTGAAGTAAGTTGTTTCATGTGATTCTTGTTTCATGTGATCAATGCACAATAGTTATTCTTATCCTTATTTTACTATTGAGGAGATAATCTTTGGGTAGATAGTTCCTAAGGTCAAATGTCTGAAAAGTGGCAAATGTGTGGATTCACATTGAGGTCTTTCTACTCTGGAACCTTTGTTCTTTTGCTATAACTATACTACCTTCTTTAATGTCCGCATTAAGTAATTAACATAAACATAAGAAATTTCTTAGGATTAGCTAAAATGCTCGATTTTGCATTTATCTCATTGGCTCTAGAACTTTATCAGTATTCTGCTCGTGTGGTACACAATTCATGCTGTAATTGCTGATAATAAAGGAGAAATTTATATTAGAGTAAACTGTAAATCCAGGCTAGAAATTGCATCACAGTGTCAAAAGAATTAATTTTAAGAGCTATTGTTCTGTAGCATCAGACTGTAGAATCAGACTTGATTCTCTTCATTGTTTTCAGGGACTATTTTTGCATATGGACAAACTGGAACTGGCAAAACGTTTACCATGGAAGGTGTTCGAGCTGTTCCTGAACTTAGAGGAATCATTCCAAATTCCTTTGCTCACATATTTGGTCATATTGCAAAAGCAGAGGGTGATACGAGGTAAAATAACTATTTTCTAATATTGAGAAGTACAAACATAAGAAAGATGTACAACCTTTATAAACACATTTTAAAAGCTGTTCTAATAAATATTTCACTACTTTTTTTTTTTTTAATTTAAGAATGATGTTTTCTTTACAGATTTTTGGTCCGAGTGTCTTATTTGGAAATATATAATGAAGAAGTTCGTGACCTTTTGGGCAAGGATCAGACACAGAGGTTAGAGGTAAGGATAGTTGAAATTGGAGTACTTTGCAAAGCAAGAGAATGTGTACTGAATTAAGTTCTTTTTTGAACAAAATGTACTCTTAATATTTTATTATTTTTGACCAGGAAACTTGATAACATATTTCAAAAATACAACTATTTTAAACACTTATGTACTGAAAAGTCTTGGTTCCTACCCTATTTCTCCCTACCCTAAGATAACCACTTTCGGTATCCTTTCAGTTTTTTTAATGTAAATACAAATATAATTTTATTTTTACTCCTATGTAGCACCCTATATACATTGATCTGCACCTTTTTTTAAATTAAAAAATTTTTTTTTTCATTTATTAGTCGGAGGCTAATTACTTCACAACATTTCAGTGGGTTTTGTCATACAGTGACATGAATCAGCCATGGAGTTACATGTATTCCCCATCCCGATTAAATTAAATTTTTTATTGAGATAAATTCACATGCAGTTGTAAGAAATAATACAGAGAGATTACCCTTTACACAGTTCTCCCCAGAGATAACATTTTACAAAGCTATAATGCAATATCATAATGATACTGATCTTGATGTAATTCACAGATATAATCCATTTGAATCCATTGTTCAAATGCCCCAGTTTTTCTTGTAGTCATTTGTGTTGTATACTATTTTATCACACGTGTAGATTATTTTATCCACTATTGCAACAAGGTACTTAAACTGTTCCATCTCAAAGATGCCTAAGTTGCCTTTTTATAACCACACTCCACCTCTCTGGTGACCACTCTCCTCTGTCCCCATCCCTAACCCCTGACAACCCTAATCTGTTTTCCAGTTCTACGGTTTTGTCATTTCAAAAGTGTTATGTAAATGTAAATATACAATATGTAACTTTTTGGAATTGGCTTTTGTGACTTTGCATAACTCCCTAGAGATTCATCCAACTTGCTGCATGTATCAATTACTCATTCCTTTTTATGTCTGAGTAATATTGCACAGTGCATTTAACCATTCACCTGCTGAAGGACAGCCATTCACCTGCTATGCATAATTTGAGGCTGTTATGAGTAAAGCTGCTATGAACATCCACGCATAGATTTTTATGCAAACATAAGTTTTCATTCTCTGGTATGAATGCCCAAGAGTACTCCAGAATTTAAAGTCAGAAGTTTTTTAAAAATTTAATTAGTTAATTAATTTTTGGCTGTGCTAGGTCTTCATTGCTGTGCATGGACTTTCTCTGATTGTGGCAAGTAGGGGCTACTCTCTAGTTGCTGTGTGTGGGGTTCTCATTGTGGTGGTTTCTCTTGTTGCAGAGAATGGGTTCTGGGGTTCATGGGCTTCAGTAGTTGCGGCACATGGGCTTAGTTGTTCTATGGCATGTGGAATCTTCCTGGACCAGGGATCAAACCCGTGTTCCCTGCATTGGCAGGCAGACTCTTTACCAAGTTTTTACAGTATCAGAAATGGAGGTATTAATACTAATTATGAATGTTGTCACAAATATTTGTGTTTTTAATCTTTCTTTTACCTGAAGGAAAAACCAGACTTTCTGATTGAGAAACTCTAGTTTTTATACTTTTGGGTAATATATTGGCACTACTTTAATCTTACATTTTAGAAAAGGGGAATGTGAGATTATATGCATAACAGATAATCACAAAAATCGTGGATTGGTTCATTATAGCTGATTTACATTCAATATTTTTTCTTTTTTTTCCCTTAAACTTTAACTTTTATTTTGTGTTTGGGTATAGCCAATTAACAATGTTGTGGTAGCTTCAGGTGAACAGTGAAGGGACTCAGACTCCATTCTCCCTCAAATCGTTATTTTTTTAATTGAGATGTAACTTACATAGCATAATATTCTTCCTTTTAAAGTGTACAATTTAGTGATTCTTTGTATATTCAGAAAGTTATGCAACCATCACTATTATCTAGTTCTAGGACATTTTCATTATTCCTGAAGGAAACTCCATGCCCATTAGGTGTCACTCTCCATTCCCCTTCTCCCTCCTGGTAACCAGTAATTTACTTTCTGTCTCTATGAATTTGCCTATTTTGGACAACATTTCATTTAAATGAAGTCATACAATTGTGGTCTTTTGTGTCTGGCTTCTTTCACTTTTTACGATGTTTTCAAGATCCATTCATGTTGTAGCATGAATCAGTATTTCATTTTTCCTTTTAACGTTTTGTAAAAGTTTTTGTGTGAATACAAGCATACCTCACTTTATAGTGCTTCACTTTATTATATTTGTTGATACTGTTTTTTTTTCCCCCAAACAAATGAAAGTTTGTGGCAACCCTGCATGGAACAAGTCTGTTCAGCTCTCTATTTCCAACAATATTTGCTTAATTAATTCATGTGTCTGTGTCACATTTTGGTAATTCTTGAAGTATTTTAAACTTTCCACCAGCAAAAAGATTATGGCTGGCTGAAGGCTCAGATGATGGTTAACATTTCTTTTAGCAATAAAGTATTTTTAAATTAAGGTACAAACATGTTTTAAACATAATGCTATTGTACATTTATAGTCTATGGATGGTATAGTGTAAACATAACTTTTATATCCACTGAGGAAACAAAAATCCATGGTACTCTTTATTGTGGCAGTCTGGAACTGAACCTTCAGCATCTTTGAACTGTATATTTTTAAAGTTCTCTTGAAAAAAAAAAAAAGTTCTCTTGGTTATGTATCAATGAATGCAATGATTAGATAATGTGGTAATTCTACTTTTAGGTACTGCCAGACTGTTTCCCACAGTGGCTGTACTATTTTACGTTCCTATCAGTGATGTATGAGGAGTCCAGTTTTTCCATATCCTTATCAACACTTGTTATTGTCTTTTTTTTAGCGATTTTAGTGAGTATAAAGTGGTATCTCATTTGTGGGCTTGATCTCTACTTCCCTGATGGCCAGTTACATTGAACATCTTTTTACACCATCTGTGTATCTTCTTTGGAGAAATTTCAGTTCAGATCCATTATTAATTTTTAATTGGGCCCTTATTTTTTTAAATTAAATATTAATAATTTTTTATATGGAGCTTCCCTGGTGACTCAGTGACAGAGAATCCACCTGCTAATGCAGGAGGTGTGGGTTCAGTTCTTGGGTCAGGAAGATCCCTTGGAGCAGGAAATGGCAACCCACCCCAGTATTGTTGCCTGGGAATTCCCATGGATAGAGGAGCCTGGAGGGCCATGGTCTGTGAGGTTGCAAAAAAGTTGGACATGACTTAGTGACTAAACAAAAATTCTTTGTATATTCTAAATGCAAGCTCGTTAACAGATAATAGGGATTTACAAAAATATTCTCTTATGGATTGTCTTTTTACTTTTTTTTTTTCTTTTTACTTTTTTGATGGTGTCCTTCTGGAGCATAAAAGTTTACAATTTTGATCACATTTACTTCATCTACATTTAGTTTCATTTCTTGTGTTTTTTGGTGTTGTATCTAAGAAATCATTGCTTCATCCAAGGTCACAAAAATTTATGCCTTTGTTTTCTTCCAAAGAGTTTTATAGTTTTAGCTTTTATATTTAGGTCTTTGGTTCGTTTTGAGTTAATTTTTTATATGCCTTGTGAGTCAGAGGACCAGCTTCACTGTTGCATACAGATCCCCGGCTGTCTCAGCACCATTCTTAAGTTTTTTGTAGCCGTGCGGCACGTGGGGTCTTAGCTCCCCAATCGGGTCGCACTCCTGAGGTGGGAGTGAAGAATCGTAACCACTGGGCCGCCAGGGGTCCTTCAGTGCCGTTTATTGAAAAGACTCCCCTCATTGTGCTTTGCTTTTTCTTTTAACTGAGCAATGGGTTGTGACAGTCTTTCCATGTAAGTAAAGAGAATCGCTTCTTCATTCTTTGTTTTTTTTCCTTTCTGCCTCATAGTATCCTTAGTATGGACATAACTTTTAGTTTGCTTAGCCACTCCACTACTGATGAACAGTTGGGTTGTTTAAAATCTTTTGCTCTTACAAACAGTTATGTACTAAATAACCTTGTAATTACACCATTTCATACATGTACAGGCTTGTCTGAGGATAAATTCCTGAAACAGGATTGCTGAATCGAGTGGTAGATGACTAGTAATTATTGCCAAATATATTAAGATTTTGGTGTATGAGACAAAAGGTTAGCCTTTAAAATATTAATGTTGGAATTTTGATTGGAATTGTCAATAAAATAATTAGAGAATAATGTGTGTAGAATAACAGTAGAATAGAGTATAGAATTGTGGTAGCCTCCATTGTCGAACAGTGTAGAATATACTGAGAATAACAGTAGAATAATAGAATAACTATTATTAAGAAGCTCTTATAATGCAGCAACAGGCATTTAGTGTAGTAAATGGTGGTAGTAGTACATATTTTGTTTCATTTAACTTTTCAGCAGTTCAATTTTGTTAATGTAAAAAAATGAAACCTAGAGGAATTTTCCTGACTTGCTTATGTAAGGTAAATGGGTTAAGGATTAAAGGGTGATTTCTGAGGTTTTAACATCTTAGCTTCAATATTGGTTCTGATCTCTTAAGCAGGTTACTTACCATCTATGAGCCTTAGGTTTGCCACATGAATATGGAAATAATAATAGTATCTACTTTATAGGATTATTGCCAAAGATAACAAATTAATACAAGATTTTAAGATCATTGCTTGACACATAATATTTAATAAATTTTAGCTTTTTAAAAAAAATTTACTATATGAACTGAACTTTTGGAGCAATATGTTACAGGCTTAGGTGTTAATATTATTTGAATTTGTTGGACCTTAATGAAGACTTAATCCATAATGATAATGTGTAGATAACAAATATAGAGATAAGTTTCTTTTTTCTTGTCATCTTTGGTTTTGATGGATCCCTTAATTCTGTTCTTTTTACCTTTTAAAAGTTTGTTATTTGTACAGATTATTAGTAAAAACCATTTGGAAAGAACATTTCCATTTTTATAATAGTAATTATAGATCATATTTATTCTCAGAAGCAGTCTTGTCAGTGGTTCTCAAGTACATTAGACCCAGT